GCCCCACTGTAGCTACGGGCCCCCTTAGCCATCTCATGTCTAAACTGAAAAGTCCCAGACTCTTCAGCTTTTCCTCACAGGGAAGGTGCTCCAACCCCCTGCAGGGAATGGCTTTTAAAAATTGAAGGAGAGCGCAGACGGGCTTGGAACACTGCTGCTGGGGAAGGGGTTGCCTTCCCCCTGCAAGCTGTTTTCCCATGCAGAAAAACAGCGCTGGGGGAGGAGTTATTTCCCTGTTTTGGCTGCTCCACAGGGAAGCCAGGGAAATAATCCCCCCCTCAGGGGTCATTTCATAGAAAAAGAGGTGCAGGAGCTTATTAGCATAACTCATTTGCATATGCCACACCCCCTGACATCACTGGAAGTGTGTCAGAAGGCAACACCCACCGCTCAGGCTCCAATGGACTGTTTTGGATTGCTAGCTATGGGGGGGGGGAGGAACGTGCAGATCTGTCCTCACAGAGGAGGGAGAGCTTCTACCTGAATAAACCTTGGCCTTAAAGGGGTCACTGGACTGTTTTGGACCAGGAGGCGGGGGGGGGCTCTGCAACTTACCTGGCTGCTTCTTGCTCTGACTGAGGGCTGCTGGGAGTAGGGGGTGGGGCTTATTGCATGCACCCGCCCCCTGGGCTCTTTACTGCCAGAGCTCCCCTCCTGTGCGCTCCTGCAGGACATGACCCCTGTCCCCCACCCTTATTATTTAAAATCCATTCCGCACAGCTGCTGTGTTGCTGTGTGATGTAGGAATCCAGACCCAACGGTTTAAGAACACAGATGTGTAGCTTGGCCTTCATTATTGTCCCCTTGGACTGGTAGCAGCACTCCAGGCCCAGGCCCACTGGCCTTCCAGTTGTGGCAGGCTCAGCATAAGGCACTCACCCTAAGTGCTTCTAGACAGTAATAGTTGCAAATATATTCACATTTTCTTGGGAGTATACCTCACAGAAACAAATGGGTAAACGTGCCTAGGATTGGGCTGCTAGAGGTGGTGAGAAACATCTGTATTCCCACTGTAAGAAATCTAGTGCAGAGTTGAGCCATGAGACCAGCGTCTTCTAATTAACTGGTAGAAATAACCATTTCACCATCCAGAATCATGTTGTAACCAATCAGAAACCTAGCAATCAGTGTTCCGATGGAAGGTAAAGGCCTAGTTCATTGGACATTCTGTCCACAGAGAAACTTCTGCATTTTTGCACTAGGCAATTAGCATTCCGTTGTACTCAGCCAAGATACCAATGAGAAGGCTTCGCTTGTGGATGGCACATTCCTATTGGTTTTGCCAAAGCCACCAGCAGCAATATTTAGCTGATAATGACTACATTGTCGTTGTCTCAAGGACTTTGACAGGCCTGAAAATTGCACGTTGCCATTGAGCCGAATGGTGGAAAACATGGAATAAAACGTTAAAGTGATCCCACAAAATAGCTGCCCTCCAATGCTTCAAAGATGAGAGCCTCACTGCTATTATCCAGAACTAAAATAACTCTGTTCTGTGGCAAACCTGCAGTCCTGGCGGGCCAAGAAATAATGGAGGGCCAACACATAAGACTGAAGTGTGCAAGTGTGTGTGAACAGGAAAGCTGCCTTTTCTATTCACAGGACCTATTTTAGAACACACGGCAGTACATGTACACTTGGCGTGACAGAGGCTGCAAAACCAGTAAATTACAGGGCCTGTTGCTGCACCACAACCCGTTCTCTTAAATGTAACCAGAAATATAACAAAGGGCCGGCCTTGGAAGAATGATAATGAGGGTTGTGAGCAACTAGATGTTCAGCAGAACATCAGCCCAGAAATTGGGAACCAGACCTAATCAGCTGATGTATGGCATTTTGGTTATTTTGTATTGATGTGCTAATAGGGTATCAGAAATGCAGGTACACTGCTATCTTTACCATAATATAACTTGGGGTTTGTTTTTTTTTTAAAAAAATATTCTTGAGTCCACGCATTATGCTAATCACAAGTTGACCGCAAACTGACCCACAGAATATGTAAGATCTAAAGTGAAAGGCCACACAGGGGTCATTTTGTAGAAAAGAGGTGCAGGAGCTCATTAACATAACTCATTAGCATAACTTATTTGCATATGCCACACACCCCGACATCACCGGAACTGTGTCAGAAGGCAACACCCATTGCAACTTACCTGGCTGCTTCTTGCTCTGACTGAGGGCTTCTGGGAGCAGGGGGTGGGGCTTGTTGCATGTGCCCGCCCCCTGGGCTCTTTACTGCCGGAGCTTCGCTCCTGTGCGCTCCTGCAGGAAATGACCCCTGGTAAGTTACAAACCATTTCTCCTGGACCTATGTTTGGGCTGCATTATTTGTGCTAACGTAGGGGGCAGGGAGTAATCAGGCAAAGCAGGAATTGTGTGGCTTCAAATGACTCAGTGCCAGAACTGTACCATACCCCATGCATAGTGCAAAGGAACAGCTAAATGCAAAGGACTGTTCTTTGTCACTTGAATCCCATAGATCTTTTTGATCACTAGTTGGAAGCTGGTGCAAACTGACTCAGAGCGACGTGTGCTGGTGCTGAGCACATGCCCTACGGTTTCTTCAGAGGGTGGAAGGATACCATCTTGATTCCTGGTGATTCATACATGAGGCTGAATGTAGATAGTCGTAGAGTGTAATATGTGCACCCCCAGATTGCCTTTGTACCAGTAAAGCTGGGAGGTATAAAATTGCTTAGACCATTTAGTGAATATTTCAGTATTTGCAGATGGCTTGGGATGATTCTTCAGACTAGGCACAGACACCCATATCTAGAGCAAAATTCTCTCGGGTGAGATTCTAGGGCCCCACAAGTTTGTGTTAGGTAATAACATCTCACCTTTCTAGTAAGATATCGTGGACTTCAGAACAAGCTGAGAAAATGAGAAGCCCCTGCAAGGCTTCTTTCAGTGTTTCGTGTTTCCTCTTCTCACTTGGCCCATGTAGTGCAGAATGGTAGCCTTTTCTGCTTGCTATTCTATAGGCTGCGGTCACACGTGCCAATTGAAGCGGAGGGGAAGCAAGGCTATTCCCTCCGGAGTAATTCAACCTGCAGTTGCGAGGTCACACCATCTTTCGTAGCTGCAGGCACAGCCTGTCACATTTGTTCCCATGCGCATAAACAAGGAATCACACCTCCGCACCGAGGGCCCCCTATGGGTATGCGATGATGCGCATACTGTGAAGAGAGAGGGGGGAAACGGCACCGAGTCGGGATGGCCTGATCAGACCATCCCGACGGTATGAGTGCACGCTTGAGCAATCAGACATGGGAACGTCCATCGAAACCCGTTTACTACTGGACTTTCCCAGGTGTCTTTTAACTCCGCTTCCGTGGCAGAGCAGCACGGGTTGCTGATGACTGTGGGACGCTTCACAGATGTTGCTGTCTGATTGCACCCTTTAGATCCGTCGGGCACTTGTGCCTATGTCGGATCTACTGGTGTGTGTGATCGCAGCCTGTAGTATCTTGTAGTATCCTTCTAGCCGTATCTGAAGAAGTGAGCAGTGACTCATGAAAGCTCATACTCTGTCACAAATGTTGTTCGTCTTTAAGGTGCTCCTGGACTCTTACTCTTTTCTACTGCTAGACTGCAGTCACACTCACTAAATAATCCACTTTTGATCCACTTTCAATGCACTTTCCAACTGAATTTTGCCACTTCACACAGTAAAATCCAGGTGGAAAGTGCACTGAAAGTGGATTATTTAGTGTGTGTGACCAGTGACCACATCCCTATAGTATCTGGTGTTTGCATTTGTATGCTGGGGCTGATGCTGCATGCTGGGAGCAGGGCTGAAGTTAGGCAAATTGCTTATTGTCCCAGTACATATGAAACAACTGTATTGGAATCCTGTGTTTTGTCGTTGCTGTTTAGATCAGAAAAAGTGCCTAGTCCTTGATGCTGCCAAAAAAATAGCTTGAAGACACGACCCAGATGAAAAACAGCACATCATGTTGTTTTTATTAACAGATGCCACTAGATGCACATCAGACAGGAAAGCTGTGTAATTATTTAAGTTACAGCAATAAAAATAAACTGGAGATACAGTCAAAGTTAAGAAAAGAAACAAAGGAGGTTCCAAAAGTTTTATGTCCCTGTAACACTGTTACATAATACTATAAAGGATCTTTACTATGGCCTGGTTAATATATCTCAAATATGTGTCTGTAGATAAGCCAGTTTGGGCTGGAACATACGCCATCTCACCGGCATCTTGCAAGTGAATTACCTGTTCACTACAAAATGGTTTACTCTGGAATCTCATTCATAAAGAAACTTTACAAGACGGTGCTTCGTTTAACAGACATTGAGCAAAGCATGCTAGCTAACCTTCTGTATAAATGGGGTAGAGCCTATCCCTATCCCCAGGGGTCATTTCATAGAAAAAGTGGTGCAGGAGCTCATTAGCATAGCTCATTAGCATAACTTATTTGTGTATGCCACACCCCCTGACATCACCGGAAGTGTGTCAGAAGGCAACACCCACCGCTCAGGCTCCACTGGACTGTTTTGGAATGCTAGCTATTGGGGGGGGGGGCAGAGGAATGTGCAGATCTGTCCTCGCAGAGAAGGGAGAGCTTGTACCTGAATAAAACTTGGTCTTAAAGGTGCCACTGGACTGTTTTGGACCGGGGGCGGCGGCGGGGAGCTCTGCAACTCACCTGGCTGCTTCTTGCTCTGACTGAGGGCTGCTGGGAGCAGGGGGTGGGGCTTGTTGCATGTGCCCGCCCCCTGGGCTCTTTACAGCCGGAGCTCCGCTCCTGTGCGCTCCTGCAGGAAATGACCCCTGCCTATCCCACCACTTTATTGATTTATTTAAACATCTATACCCCACCTTTTATTTTGGCTCATTTGAAGCCTCCTCTGAATCTGAGGACCCTTCCTCCAACTTACGTGGCTCTTCCCCCAAAGGAAAAGCCACTTAACTTGGAGAATGGCTCATTAGGCTGGAGGAAGGCTCCAAAATTTGCTTAGTGGAGTGGTAGTATGGGGGTAGGGTCTACTCCACTAACTAGCCACAGCAATAATAATAATAATAGTAATAATAATACCCAGGACTAAGATTGCAAAAGCGGTAGGCAGTTTTGTGAGCATAATCAATGTGATTGCTCACATTTCTCGGCTACCGTGCTCTGTGTGTCTGGAGTGCAAGACTAACAGAGAGGACAGAAAGCTAAAGAGACCACCAGTGAAAAAGAGAGACGGCAGGTGGGAAACACTGGCAGCTAAGCTCAGCCTCGAGCCTAGGCAGGATGCCAAGGATCCGTTTTTATATCTTCTGCATCTCCAAAGGGTGAGCTTTGAGATGAGTTCCAAGAAACATGAATGCATCGATACAGGTGATCTGAATTAGAACTAAGAGAGGTTTCTTGTTGTGCAGTGGTTGGGTCACACCAGTTGACAGTCTCTGTCAGAAGCCACCTGAATGGCCAAAGCGAAGTCCCCTGGAATGCTCAAGGCTCTCCGCTCATTTCTTGTCGTCGTCCTCATTAGGAAAGAGTCTGTAAGCCAAAAAGTCCATGGATTCCTGAGCCAGCTTGGAGAGATGGAGGACGCCTGTGATCACCAGAGCAATGAGCACCAGTGGCAGAACCACATTCCACACCGTGGCAAGGATGTTGTAGCATTTGGCCTTGGAGCCATAGCGATGGGCAGCTTCCAGATCACCAGACACCTTCTGATCTCGTGCCTGCAAAAAAGGAAGAAAAGTCATTGCGAAGACCCAATCACACCTGCAATTAAGATTGCTGGGGAAAATATCAACAGCCTCAGATATGCAGACGGTACCACTCTAATGGCAGAAAGTGAAGAGGACCTAAAGAGCCTCTTACTCAGAGTGAAAGAGGAGAGTGCAAAGGTTGGCTTGAAACTCAACATCAAAAAAACCTAAGGTCATGGCATCCGGCCCCATCACTCCTTGGCAAATAGAAGAAGAAGTTGTGGAAGCAGTGACAGACTTCACGTTCCTGGGATCCAAGATCACCGCAGACTGTGACAGCAGCCATGAAATTAAAAGACGCCTGCTCCTTGGGAGGAAAGCGATGGCAAACCTTGACAGCATAATAAAAAGTAGAGACATCACCCTGCCAACAAAAGTCCGTATGGTCAAAGCAATGGTATTCCCAGTAGTCATGTATGGCTGCGAGAGTTGGACTATAAGGAAGGCCGAGTGCCGAAGAATAGATTCTTTTGAATTATGGTGCTGGAGAAGACTCTTGAGAGTCCCCTGGACTGCAAGAAGATCAAATCAGTCAATCCTAAAAGAAATCAACCCTGACTGTTCCCTGGAAGGCCAGATACTGACGCTGAAGCTCAAATACTTTGGCCACCAAATGAGAAGGGATGGGAGCACTCCCTGGAGAAGACCCTGATGCTGGGAAAGACTGAAGGTCAAAGAAGACGGAGACGGCAAAGGATGAGATGGTCAGACAGTGTTATTGAGGCAACAAACATGAAATTAAGCAAACTCCGGAGCACGACAGAAGACAAGAGGGCCTGGCGTGATCTGGTCCATGGGGTCGCGAGGAGTCGGACTCGACTGTGCGACTAAACAACAACAATCACACCTGACCAAGACCTGTTCAGGTGTTCTGTGTCTCCCAGGTGTGCATGGGTCTGATTCAAATTGGGACTGCAGCACACAAGAAAAGAGTGCTTCAGCCTTTCGGCCAACTCCTTTCCCCCAGCTTCATGACGACAGCTCCCAAGGGCTATTTCAGGTCAGGAAAATGAAGTCAGGAGGGACATTGAAACACCTTCTTCCTGCACACAGTTACCCCAATCCTAAGCAGGCCCATGAGCACCTAGGAGGCACAGAACTTTAGAACATGTCTCTGTGATGCATGCCTCGTCCACATGTTACGGATGATGGGCCAGGAAGCCTGTTGCCTGCAGTGGAACTCCGCTATCATGATGGACAGCATGTCAGTATCAGATATTGAACCTACCATATTCAAATTAGGCTAGCTACAGCATAGGTAAAAACATGCCCAAAAAGGTTTTTAAAAAACAGAGGAGGATGCCCCAATTCTGCCCTTCAGTCCTTGCAACCCATTTGGCGATCCCCCTGCTGTTTGCAGGACGAACACTTTGGTTTAGCAGGAATAGGAATAGACAACGCATCTTTGGGAATACAGTACAACCACAGCATGTGCTGTTCAGTGCCAGTCATTTCATTTTACGTCTGCCTCTTCCTTTCACGGCCCTGCTTGCCTCAACTCATTCCCATAGTGTCCCGCCTCATTTCCCCCAATTCCTCTTTCTGATCTATGTACAGTTCGGTTGCTCATGTGCCTTTTCTTCTGCTTCCATACCATAGTCCGTGCTAGCTTCACAACTGTTTCAGACTCCACAAACAACAGAACTCCTTAATCTCTGGATTCATCACTGTCTTGCCAGAAGATATTAAGAGATCTGATCATACCAGGGGTCATTTTGTAGAAAAAGAGGTGCAGGAGCTCATTAGCAAAACTCATTAGCAGGGGGCGGGGCTTGTTGCATGTGCCCACCCCCTGGGCTCTTTACTGCCGGAGCTCCGCTCCTGTGCGCTCCTGCAGGAAAGGACCCCTGGATCATACTAACTTCCCTCTTTTAACTCTACAGATTGTCAATTATGCCATTTAATCCATCAGCAAATGAGCCTGAACCAGCACCACTGTCCGGAAAATCACTGTCACCATTAAAATCAGTCCTCTCCATTTCATTGCATCCTACCCTCTCGGACACTATCTCTGTTTCATTCCAAAGTTTCTAGGGTTTTTTACACATTTTTTTTGCTCCTATACCTTTAAACACAGCCCAGTACACCAAAATGGAGGTGGCAAGCCATTTCTCACAAGTTATTTCCTTGCCAGGAATAGCTTTGCATACTACATTTCAAACAACAGTTGTTGTTTTCTTCCAGACAGCTGAAGGCAGACTGGAAGAGGCCTCACTGCTCACTCTGTGCATTCTCCTCCTGGCTTTGCCTGTAGTCAAACAGGTATTCTTGTTTCAAAGAAATCTGTGAAAACTTGTTGACCAGAAAATAGCAGTGGGCCGAAAGAAATCTGTAGATGTACTCAAAGTAATGGATGACTCTACCATACAATTTCAGCTCTCTCAAGCACAGGGGTGAAAGTAACTTAAATGCCTTACCAGAAGATGGTCCATTTTCTTACTGGTACTACATACTGGGCCACTTTCATCTCTGCTTGACTACAATTGTCTTTATATGATCTGAAGATCTTTAGTTGTGGTTTATATTCCACTCAAAGGACTTGCTTACAATGCATCTTGTTGCAAAGTTCCCTGTCGGCTAGCATGATTGTCACCTTTTACTTTTCTTGGCTGGTAGCAATAAAGGAATCACACTCTCTGTAGTTAAATTTATTTTTTCTGCTCTTAAAATTAGGAGCTTCGACGCAACGAACATGAAATTGAGCCAACTTCAGAGGACAGCGGAAGACAGGAGGGCCTGGCAGGAGCTGGTCCATGGGGTCGCGAAGAGTTGGACTCGACTGTGCGACTGAACAACAACATGTATCATCTAAGGAGCTGCGGTGGCTCAAGTGGTTAAGACACTGAACTGCAGGCTGGAAGGTTGGTAGTTCAGCAGTTCGAGACCTGAGTGCCGCATGACGGAGTGGGCCAGGTCTCCTAAGCTTTCATGTGCACCTCTCAAGGTTGCTTCTATGTAAACAGGACCCAAGCATAAAGAAACTGAATAGTATTGTCCTGTAAAGAAATTGGAATGAGACTTCCTAATGTTGTTCTTTGTTCCTGAGGAAGGACCAGAAGTCTGAAACACTGCATACTACCTAAAAAGGTAAAGGTTCCCTTGCTCGAAAGCCAGTCGAATCCGACTCTAGGGTTGCGGTGCTCATCTCCGTTACAAAGCCGAAGAGCCAGCGCTGTCCGAAGACGTTTCCGTGGTCATGTGGCCGGCATGACTAAACACCAAGGCGCACGGAACGCTGTTACCTTCCCACCGAAGTGGTCCCTATTTATCTACTTGCAATTTCTTGCTTTCGAACTGCTAGGTTGACAGGAGCTGGAACTAGAGACAGGAGCTCACCCTGTCTTGCGGCACCCGGGTCTTGAACCACTGAACTACTGACCTTCCACAGCCTGCAGTTCAGCGTCTTAACCACTTGAGCCACCGCAGCTCCATGCATACTACCTAGCAGGGCTATTTTTGGGCAGGAACGCACAGGAACGGAGTTCCGGCTGGCTCCTGAGTTGGCCACACCCAGCAGGAACTCATTAGCATAATAGGCCACACCCAACAGCAGAAACT